ACATAGAAATAAGACTGAGACCATATCTAAGGCAACACCATCTTGGTATTCATACCTTCCCCCGTGGCAATTAGAACTCTCAACGTTCATTATGGCGTTTTGAAAAAAAAAGAAAGCAGCGAGAAAAAATGTGGTTCATGCTAACCCAGGAAAGTTTAAAAATCTTACTTGTCGGTCCTGGAAAAGCGCCATCCTCGACCTAAGAAATGAATTGATAACGTCTGGGCCAATAGCATTTGCCCAGAGCGAAGCATGCAGCCCCAGCCGCAATCGGAGGTTCGTAAAGACATAGGTATAGATGACTTCCACGGAGCAGAAGCAGCAACAGATACCGGCCCTCTATAAGCGCCCTCCTTATAATTGGTAGCCAGGTCAACCCACTCGTCACTAGAGTTCGAAGCCTGTGAAGACGAAGATAATGAGGCTCCAATTCTGCGAAAGCCAAAAGCAGGAACAAATCGACTTAAAAGGCCAGATTGGATAGGACGAGATATTAGTGGAAATGAGAGAGTCGGTGGTGCCGTAGCTTGCTGCAGCTGTGGCCTAGATGCATGATCATCAGGTTTGCGGATTTTAAATTTCAAGTCTCCAGACGAACGAAATTGATCGCCGAGTTGCTCGTCATCACGATTAAAATCCAGGGTATCGGAGATATCAGTCAAGGATACTGGCCATCCCTCAGTACCAGTAGAAGCACATTCCTTAGAAGGTTCAGAGGAAAAAAAAGTTAAGTCGGGGCAGGGATGAAGTAAAGAGCTGGAGAGAGACAATTCAGGCGAATTTTTCGAAGAATCACTAAGGTTTGTAGAAGCAGAAAGTAAAAACGCTTCGTCGCAGCTGTGAAGATTTATGAGGCTACTTGAAGCAGATGGGAAGGAACGGAAGGATAGTTTGGAAGGTAAAGATGCAGCATTTATGGCTGAGGAGATAGTGTTGCTATCCTCACTAGGTAAGACACATTTGAGTTTAGACCTGTTTGGCATAACGTTAACAGTGTGTAGAGCATTATTAAACAAAGCTATGGAAGCTGATGAAGAAGAACTAGAGCTGGAGTTATTCAAAGGGGTTATAATCGAGACCTGACTTCTAGCATCCTCATAATCGATATAGCTGGCATGCTGCATGCAGTCATCGTCATTCGTAAAAGCAGAGAGGTCTCTGCTGTAAAGAAAATTGGGCTTGTGGACTTTTAGCAAACTAAGAAAGTCTGAAGGGGCATGGTAAGCATCGAACTCAGAAATACTGATAGGTGGGAATTTTTCGCGGTATGTAAACCATATTCGTGAATAGAAATCCTCAGCGAGTGCCTCGAGGGTTCCATAAGAGCAGACATTTTCAGTGTTCAAATGAGTAGAACCTAAGGATAGATGGAGAGGATACAACACAAAAGGCAGTTACGTGTACAGTTAAGAGAAAATTTAAAAAATGCATGAAATGACAGCGAGAATACCATCGTGCTAACAAGTGAAACAGAGTAAAATCAATTGGAGCAGCCATACAAAGGGGTTCGAGATCCCTCATAAACAAGCCATGGGATAAGATGACATTTTTTAATGCTTATATATTTGTAGCTCTAATCAAGCAAATGTGAGGTTGCCTACGAATAATATTATATGAAACAAAGATATAAATACCTTGGAAATTTAGTAAGAAAATCAAAGTCTAATGTAAATATATATTTAACCTATCGTAATCACTTTGATGATGAAGTATAAGAACTTCAATACTTTTACCAGCCCAACTAGCCAAAAAATTAAACTCTAATATAAGTGTAAACGATGGCCACTACAGGTCAAGGCAAAACCTGAAAGATGGACTTTGGGAAAAATTGGAAGAATGAATGTGCTATAATTACTATTGAAAAATAAAAAGTAATGAGTTTTAAAAATAAAGACATGAGATCAGAGCATGTCTAGCATAGTTTAACAATAGTCACGAAGAGACAAGCCAAACTAAGGAAAGGTACGTACAGCTATCCATGTATACCCTTCCAAGAAAATAAATGGGGACGCCCGATGAAAAATGATGAGGTATGTTAACAACCCATCCAAATTTTATTTGATTCCAAAATTGTCGGAGACGGTCAGATACATCGATGCGCATAGAACGATTGTAAGTTTCCCCCATATCATTGTTCTGGTACAGCTGAACTTTAAATGAACTGAAAAATCCAGGGTCGCGAAAATTAATTATGGATTCCGTAGGATACTTGCAATCCATATGGCTTTTGTTTCTTGTGGTGCAGAATTCAGTATGCATACCAATTTTCTTATCTACGAAGCTGTGTAGACAATCAGCTTGCGCTGGGGAATTCAGGCTGCCAAAGCCTATAACCATTAGCGTTTTAAGGGAAAACCTAAAGTATTTAAATTCTTAAAAATAAATAGTACGTGCTTTTAGCTGGAGTTTAATAGAGGCCTTTATAATTTTGACCATTGCCTCACTTCTAAATCCAATAGACTAGCGAAAAGTCCAGATATCAGCATTAGGATAGGTCGATTTTACGAGAATTCCCGAGGTAGGAGTTTGAAAGCGGTCAACTCCTCTAAAAGAAGAGTATTGAAACTAATGAAGAGTAAGTTATTAAAAAACCAAAGAGTATTCGCATGTCTATATTTTACAAATTAATTAATCATATAGCCTTTTGTTTCCCGGAACAATGGGATGGGTTAGTAAACCGCGAGTAATGACGTTCTTGGGTCGATCAATATGTTGAAGCATCCCTTTTTCTATATGATATTGCTTTGCTATAGTAACAAGGCTCTAAAAATAGGTCTAAAACTAGAATACCGAAAATGTTCGTGGTTCATATATAGATAGAATTTGGAGAATATTCTTGTTTAGAGCAATATTCGTTTGTGCTAAGCCTTCATAAAGCATGCGTGATTCTGGAAGTTCACATTCCTCGCAAGCAGCCTGCACTCTTTGACGACATATCTCATCCATGTTCTTTTTACGGACTGCCCTTGCTACTTTCACATAGGTTAGGGCCCGTACAATTCTGTTGTGAGCGACTCTCCAGCAGCGAGAAGCGCGGCCATGGAATAACTGACTTTATAAGATTAGTTAACAATTATTACGAAGGCAAATTTTAAATAATTCTGCTTTCTAAACCATGGATCAATCTTTTTAAAAGGTTCGACCCTGACAAAACGAAGAACCGACGAGAGGTGCATATATATCGAATCATGCGCCGTTATATAACATATGTACAACCAAAAGTTCGATCTTGTTGTCTAATAAAATAGTTTAAAAAATTAACACATTGTAAGAAATTTTTTAGATTTGTTAACTACACTGGCAGCGATTCTGACATGCTGAAGGAGGCTGGCGTTATAGCCGCTTTCGGTGCCGGCTTTTGTCTTGTCGCTTACTGCATTTATTTTGATCACAAAAGGCGGAGTCATCCTGATTTTAGAGCAAAGCTTATAAAAAGTGTGCTTTTATTTAATTTATTTTCACAGAAAGAAGACAACAGGCACTTGCTGCTAAAAAGACAATTGATTTACCTTGTCTTTCTGATCAGAATGCAGTTCAACGTTTCTTCCTTGAACAGGTCCAAAGCGGTGAGGTCGCTTTAAATATGGGGGCCATCGAAGAGGGCGTTCAGCATTTTGCACTTGCCGCTGCTGTATGTGGTCAACCTGGCCATCTCCTTCAACTCTTGAGGACCACTCTCCCACCTCCTGTATTTTCTCTCCTTGCTAAAGCGTTGCCTGATGCACGTGCACAAGTCGCTGCAGCGTATACTCAAAAAGATATCGAGGAAGAGCTTGAGTGACGTTATTTTTTTAGCCCGAGTAAATAGCCTTGCTTTCATGCTGTTGTATTACTGAATACCTCCTCACTTCTGATTTGACTTAACGAAATTTTTCTTTCTTTTTCGAACCATAGGTTAGGCAACTAAAATTGTAGATTTATAGTATGCACAGTCGTTTGTAGATGTCCAAAGTGTACTCAGAAAACCTTCCAGGCCACTATCGATATAAACATTACTTTCGCTTGCTTACTCATTTTGAGGGCGCTCTTTCTAATTATCCAAAATTGAATTAAATCTTTGGATTGCCGTTATTATACATGGTTAATATTTACTACCAGCTGGAGCAACGTTTTTGACCTATTGTTTGTCCTTAGCGAGTCTATGGTTCCAGTCGATATTTTCGCATTAATGCTCGACTATTTATTAACCACATTGTGATTGCTTTCCTGGTGACCTCTCCTAATTAATTGAGTCTGGTTTGGATCGTTTTTAGGCTCATACAATTATTTTTTTACAAGTATTTATTTAGTTAAACATCTCACTTTAGTCACTACTACTCCAGATATCCCCTTTTTGTTTATTTTGAATGTCCCATTTTGCCTTGACTAGCCCGAAAAATACTTTGATTTCCCCCAGTTATGTTTTATTAGGGATTTTAATATTAAATCTGCCACTTATTTAACTATCACTTGTTACCCAAAGGAAGTGCCCCCTAGATCACTGCATTTGCCAGTCCACGACTTATCTATATGTGCATCCATTTTATGTCCTCGTTAGTTTGCCTATCTTGATGAGGCCCTAGCCAAGATAATTGTATGACTCATTAATATTCACTAACCTGGTCCGGCTTTTGCCAAGGTCTGAGTGTGAGTAGCTCAAATTTACATGAGTAAAACACGATTTAGTGCTACAGTATTCCTGGCCCAACCTTCTGATATAGTCTCTTTAATACCTTTCGCCATTGCAAGCATTTGATGTAATATTCTATTTTAGAGGCTTTTCTATTCTCGGTGTTTACTTGTAATCATACTTAAATTTGGTAGTGCCATTTGATCCCTGAAATTAGCATCTGCTCTGTGACCCAGATAAACTTGTGGCACTGTGGCGTATTGGCTAACGTGTCCAGATTGTACGCTACATTGTCATGATTCGAGTCTCGTTGAGG